CAGACAACTTGTTCAGTCCAGTCATGTCATGTCCAGTCCTGTCCACATACCAAACACATCATAAATGTGCATTCACTTGGTAAAAATCTAGGGTCTTTTACAATTATATACGATTGTTTGTCCATGGTTTAACACACTTACGTTAAAAAGGACTCGTGTTTGAATATCGCATCTATATGCCAATGTTTTAGAAATTAGAATGAATCATCTTCGTTGTAAAATTTTATACAAACCCCGTCATTTGTTAAGCACAAAAACATACGAGTTCTTCAAATTGGTTAACATTTTATATCTGAGAATGAAAAGTAACTGATTTATAACGTTATACTAAAATTTACAAATAATATTTGAGTGGAGCGATAACACGTATAAGTTTATTCTCTATAAAAAATGTCCACGTTAATTTTATATCGGGGCCTAACACGTTTTATTGTTAAGTATAGTCATGATTTTTTTCCATGAATTTCTCGTTTATGTTAAGATACTTGTGTTTGAAGATTGGGATCACGTTAGACCAAACTGTTTTCGTGAGACCACTTTTTTACACTTAAAACTTCGTAGCAAAACGCTGTAAAGGTTCAACTTTTTTTTTGTATCTTCACAGTGTTTTGTTGTGAAGCTTCAAGTATAAAAAAATTGTCTCATAAGTTTCACGAAAACAAGCTGGTCGCACGTGAACCCAACTCCTTAAATAAACCATATGACATTTCTTTAAGGAATCGTGTTCGTTATCTACCCATATTTAAAGACAACAAATGGTTGGACTTAGATGTACCAATATAAACCTCTTTAATTTATGACCAGTATTAAAAGCAAGATAATTGTACTTTGTTGTATTTTTTTTAATTGTTAGAGTAAATTACCGTTTTTGTTTCATTTACGTGGTTTAAATATTGTGATTTTAATTCTTATGATTTGTAATTTATTGTTATTTTTGTACTTGAACAAATTCATATAATGTAAGTAGGGTTGTTCATGGGTTGGGTTGATCGGGTTGAAGACATTTGAACAACTCAACCAAATGCTTACGGTTTGAAAATTCTTAACCCAACTAAAGTGCTACTCAACCCAACCCAAATCGGACAGGTTGGTCGAGTTGATATTTTGGTACATTAAAATATTTTTATAACTAAATATGTTATTGCTCTACTCATACTTTTTTTTTCATCATCAACCGTTTGATACAACTTATTCATACTTCTTACGTATATCACATTCAGTTAGTTTTCTCAATTTACATATATATGTTCAAACTTACTGAACATATATGCGAATGAGTTATATAAAGATGTGAATATATTGAAAATATGTGTATATGAAGAGCATACATGATAGTGTAATTGTCTAATGTACATATTAATATAAATTCAACAATCATATTAAATCCAAGAAATAAAAGGATATCGGGTTTATCGGGTTCATCGAGTTGGGTTGGGTTTAAATAATAGTAACCCAATATCAACCCAATACCTATGATTTGACAATTTTACAACTCGATTAGACACCGGGTTGTTTCGGGTTGAGTTATTTCGTGTTGGATTGGGTTAGGTTGATCGGATTTTTGAACATCCCTAGCTACATTAATATCATGGTATTGACTTTGTTAATTATGTTTTAGTTTTTTTTTATTTTTTATACCATTGGATATTAAACATTATAACTTTAATTATTGTGTTTGAACATTTAAATATTTACAAGTTTATTTACTGTAATTAAAACCCCTTAAACGTGACGTGTTACGTGGAAACTCAAGATGTCACTCAAAATTTGAATAAAATAGCAAGTTTTCACATATGTTACTTAGGGGCCGTTTACCGAACGCTTATTTGGGTAAGTGAACACCAAGTCATATTATCATACCGGATGAATATGGTAATGATCAAGAATCTTACCCGGTAAGAGCGAGACAAAGACCAAGAGTCTTACCCGGTAAGTGAGGGCGACGACTCCTACCACAGTAAGCGCTTACCGGGTAAATTGTTACATACGATACCGTTTTGATGGACTAAAATCTTATCCGGTAAGTAAATGATAGTGTTAAGTTTACCGGTAAGCGCTTACCGGGTAAATGTTTGGTAAACGGCCCCTTAAGGTTGCTATAAAACTAATACCAACCAGAATTTTTTTTTGTACGAATTAAGTTGGTACCAAATACAGTTGGTTAGTTTATGGTATATAATTTTATGTATTAATTATAATTGATTGATACATGATATTAGGAGAAAAAAAAAAACTTGATACCATACGAATTCCACCTCTAAAAAACATGTGATCAAATAAATACAAACTATACATTTTCTATACAGGCCATATTCAGACAAAACCACCTTGTTTTTGTGAGACCCATGAAACGAGCTATGAGCCTTCGCTCCTAGCTCCACCCATAGTTGTGAAGGCACAAAAATACATCGAGGCGGTGTTTGTTTTTTTAACAAAGGCTCTTATTTTATCACTTATATCTAGGGTTGCAAACGAACCGAATGTGCAGCGAACCGTTGGTGAACCATTCGACGGGAAGTTCGTTTATGATCGTTTATTTAATAAATGAACGAACATGAACAATTTTTTTTGTTCGTTTAGTTAAATGAACGAACACAAACAATAGTCTCGTTCGTTCATTTACGTTCGTTTATATTCGTTCGTTTACATTTGTCTATATTCGTTCTTGTTTATGTTCGTTTATATATTAAATTTAATATATGATCTTTTATTTATTTAATCTGAATTCAAATAATATTTATTTAAGTTTTAATTTTTTAGAATTTATTTAGATTTTAATTTTATCATCATTTTGTCTTATTTGAATTTTTTGAACCTTTTACTTTTCCCCCAAAACTTTAGCCTCAATATAATTGGTGTGTAATAGTTAATTGAATCGTTTAGGCTTGTTCGTTTATGTTCGTTTAGACTTTTTCGTTTATGTTCATTTAGCCCGTTCATTTATGTTCGTTCTTTACGTTCGTTTAATATATTAAAGAAAGAACATAAACGAATACGGACACAAACACAAAAATTTTCATTCGTTTACCGTTCGTGTTCGTTCGTCTGTTCGATTGAGTTAAACGAACGAACATAAACAAGCCTTTGTTCGTGTTCGTTCATTTACTGGTCTCTCAATCAAAACTAAGGGGTCATTTATCAAAAACTTACGCGATAAGTGCTTACCGATGAAATTTAATATTATTACTTAGCGGGTGAGATGTCAGTCCACCAAAACGGTACTGTATACAATAATTTACCCGATAAGCTCTTATCGTGGTAAGAGTTGTCGCCTTCACTTACCGGATAAGACTCTTGTTCTTTGTCTCTCTTTTACTAGGTAAGATTCTTGGTCTTTGTCACATTCATCCGGTAAGGTGACGTGACTTGGTAAATATTTACTCAGGTGAGGGTTTGATAAACGACCCCTAAATCTTATTAAGTTTTTAAGTTTAACAAAAATTACCCTAAAAATATAAAGGAAATATGGTTTAATTTGCTTAAAATTAAAATGTATAAAGTTATCTTTATGTGTAAACAAATATATTCGGTTTGTGGGGTCACATGCCTGATAGTGGGTCAGCTGAAAATTACTTATGGGTTATTTGTTTACCTTTTAATAGTTCTATTAAGAGACAACCTCTGAATCATTAAGAGGTGAATTTTGTTTGGCAAAAAAAAATATTCTTCTTAATGATTTCAAAACCATCTGAATGATTTTGTATCATACATCTCCCTTAACAATTAAGAGCCATAATTTCATTGTACACAATTACCAAACAATTATATTTCGTTTGACACTATATCATGAGAGTCTTTTAATCATTCTGACCACTTAATTATTCTGCACTAAATCATCCAGCAATTGCCAAACAGTCCCTTATACTAGAGGATACAGTGACACTGTCTCAATCTACAAGAAAAGTGTGATGGGCAACTTTATGGATGACTATGTATGTGATACTTCTCATAATAAACTGTAGGTCGGTGGCTACCTAAGGAAACTCCGATTCAATCCGTCAAATTTGATCAAATCGATCGATAATTTTTTAATATCTTAGGTGGGGCAACCGACCGTCAACCGACATTAGGAGGGAGACTACCGCCCCCTTCAGGGGGCTTGTTGCTAGAAAGTTCAAAAGTAGCTGCTCTCGTAGCTGCACATTCATCTTCGTCTCTTGCTCCACTTTCACTACCCTTGACTACTATTTTTTTTCCCAGTTTTTAAGCATCTGATTTAACAATTGAAATCTGATTGTACCATCTTAATTAGGTTTCAAATCGATAAAATACAGTGGATTGGTGCTGCAACCCACGTGATAACATTTAATCCTACTTGATTCATGTTTCGACTTTGTCATCCGAGATCGGATCTTAGCTCAACGGATATTGTACGTAATATGTGTTCTTTTAGCTCAATCGAGTTGTATTTGTAGCCGAACTTCGTTGTCGAATTATATCTGTTTGGGTTTAATATTTGTTTATTCTGTATTTTTTGATGTATTTTATTTTAGAACTGTTTGTTTCCTAGAAAAACTTGGAAAGTTATTGTTGTATCTTTTTTTTTTGATTAACCTGGATATCTAACCCGCTATGTTAGCCGACTAATCCCAGGGCGACCACCTGATTTGCAGATAGCCGGGAGTCACCGCATTTGAACCTCCGTGGCCACAACGAGATTTTTATTCTTCATTGGATTTGAACCTGAGACGTCTTGGTACTTTTGATCTTTGGAGTCAAGCTCAAACCAATCAAGCACCATTCTTGTGGTTAGTTATTGTTGTATTTGATTCCCAATAAAAATTTTGTTGCCTTAAAAAAGTATTTATAATCAATTTTTTATCTTTTAAAATTATTTTTATGTTATTTTGACCAAATTTGGAATCATCATTTTTCTACTTGTATCGAGCGCGGGAAATTAAACCAATAAAATTGTAAAATCCCCAAATTAAACCAATACAATTAGGGCACGAACTTGATTCGTGTAATCAAGTGTGGTTCTTTGCAATCCGTCTATAAATTCAGTCGCAAGGCGGGAAACCACCCCAATCGGGTGTCATCGTCATTCCGATCTTCCCAATAATCCTTCCGCGACTACATCTATCTACCCAAAATCGCACAATTTGAAGAAAACGCGAAATTTTCTAAAACCCTAAATTGAGCTGATCGGATGGAAGTCTCACCTAATTCGGAGACTAAACCCCGTGTTCGCCGGCGATTGATTCAGTCGACACTGTTCCCGCACAAGTCTCAAGACAATGTCGGCAGTGTAGATGAAGATTTCGAACCTGGTGTAGACCAGGAAGACGTGGAAGAGGATTATTGCGAGACCCCAGTGAAGAATAATAAAAAACGAAAGCCAAGAGCAGCGTCCCAATCGCGAGCTTCAAGAAAGGTTCGTATCTTTTTGTTGGATCTAACAATTCACTGGTATTGAATTATTTTTTGATTGATCAGCATGTTCGACGTAATGACATCCACTTATAGAATTGCTGAACCAGACGAGTGAGTGGTGGAAGAATAATTATCCTTTTTTGAAGTTTTGGAACGATGATGATGAAAGTCTTGGTCATATGATTCACATAAATGTGTCATCCGGACTGTAGTTTAGCTGCTTCTAGTTGATTAGAGTACGTTATCATTAGTTTTATCAGTAAATGGTCAAAGGCAAAGATTTTCTTTGATGGGGTAGCCAACAAGTTGAGCTGGTTACTTATTTAAGGGAGGTAGTTTGAGTTATGTTTATAGCAGTGTGAGCAATGATTAAACTAAATATCAGATTCTAGTGAATCTAGCTTAATGGAGCAACTGCCGCATCACAAACTGAGTGCGTGCACTTATTTCACAGTTATTTGATTGCAAACAAAGTGGTCACCTACTACCCACTAGAACGAAATCACATTCTTGTATTTTGAGCCCTGTGGTACATCGGCATATTACACAAGGAAGTGCGAAGAAGCAACAAGAAGCAAGCCATAGATAATGCCAATAAATGAGAATATAGACATACTTTATATACACATGTTGTATTCGACGTGACCGTGTACTAAGCGTGTGTATATCTAGAGCTTCTATTACCCATGGGTACATTAATCCATGAAATTGGATTAAAGCATTGTTGCATAATTCAGCTACTGTTTCTAAATAATTGTTCATGACAGGAGAATTTGATGCTTAGATAAATAAAATTCATGACACACTAATACACTTTTCATTAGGATTTTTAGTGAGGAAAGAAATTAACATGTTTAACATATGGGATTCTTGGTCTTACATTTTATGGTGGCCTATATTGTAGGAGACAACATCCTTACAAGTTTTACTTGATTTGGAGTATAACTCCAAATCCATATGCAGTATGCAAGGCTATTTTTTCTGGTTCACAATGTGAAGTCCCCAGAGACATTTTTATCATTAAGTGCTGACATAAGTTTGGGGGCTTAAATAGGTTAGGTGGTTGTATGTTTTCTTTGTTTGAAACTGTAACCCGATACCAAATTTTTTGTCAGATTGCTGTAAATGGAAATGAGCCTGGGGCAAAAAATACCGACGAAGAAGATTCTCCAGTTACTGTTAGTAAGTGATTATTGAGCTGGACGCATGCCATACCCTCTTGTTGTCCTCTTTGTTTTAGCTGGCATGTCATGTAAAATCAACAATAAGTTGAGGACATCAATTTTGTATTTCACCATGTCTTGTGCAGAAGTTGATTTCTTTGTGAAAGTTTCTGAGAGACGCCATCAACAGAGACAGCAAAAGGAGCAGCCATCTATTATCAATTCACCTGAAAAAAATGAACAATGTTGTTCACCTCCGGATGTCATTACAAGTATGATTGTTTTCTCCAATGTTATCATTTTTCTTTTTCCACAATCCTCGATTACTCAAGCCAAATTGATACAGAGATGCAGTTGGCTTTTGCTAGGAACTCATTTACATTGATGGGAATGTTAGGAAAGCTAGAACAAAGTGACATGATGAATAATAACATTACTAGTGTCTAAAGTGTACTTTTACATGTAAAAATGCAAATAAGCCATGATTCCAACTCATTGCCACAATGATTTGGGTTGGTTTATTAGTAACAATATTGTGGCTCTAACTTGCAACAACAATAAAACCTTTTATCTCAAAATACTTGTGATGCAGCAGGAATTAAACCCATGAGAAATTGAAGAAGGAGATGAAACAATCAAGATCTTGGAACATGACTAGCATCCTTCCACGCCCTCCTTTCTAAAAACCAATCCCTTAAATATCTTTCAATCCTAGAAGTCTGTTTTAGTTTGCATTAGTCGGTATACTAAGGAATTTTCGTGATACACTAGTGCATGGAAAGATATCATTCATATTCTCGAACCCCAAGGGATTCAAAAGCAAACAAGATTTCCATATTTTGCTTTTGGGTTCCATGGTTTACAAGCTCTTTGGGTTTCTCTTTTAATTTAAAGGAGTTACCCTATCTTCTCTAGAATATCCTCATTTTTGAACATATATGTAATTGGGCATGCTCACATCCACCTTAATGCACCATTTATACTACATTCATATATTTGTACATGTTTTCTACTTGTGGGATAATCTACATGATGAATATAACTTACATATTATATAGAACAATAGAAGTTATATTAACTTAGTGGGATTACAAGATCAAATAAGTCTCCTTATGCATGTCGCCGTTTCCTCCATGCCTATTAATCACATTATCATCAATCTCTTCATTATTCATAATCGAATGAAAACTTCTTAGGCACCTCTTATCTGCACATGCTTGCCACATCTTCATCCTTGATACTGGCATCAATATTGTTGCACTTCATGTATTATGTTTTAGTCCTTAGTTTCAAACTTCCTTTTCAAGAGTGTATCTTGACCACCCTAGTTTTGTACCCATGATTTGCCTAGTATAATCAACTAGCACCACATCATTTGCAAAAAAAACATGTATCATGTGACTTTGTCTCATGTTCTCTTTGTGAGCTCATCCATAGCTAGAAGCCATGACGTAAGACGCGCCATGAAGTAAGACGCGTCTTTGCTGTTATGAAACAACCTATAGTGTTTGTGTAGGGCGTGGCTCACGCCATGGCACCTTGAGGCATGCCATCGCATGTCGTGGCGTGAGCTTTTTACAAGAGGTGATTTTTTTTCTTCATATTTTTATATTTTTATATTTAGTTTTGTAACTTTTGTGTTTTTACACTTTTAACTTTAAATTTTATATCTTTACAAACTTAGTTAATCAATCACACACAGTTTCTTGGGTTTACACATGTCATGGACTCATGGTTAACACGAAGTTGTAAACCCTTTCAAGTTCTATTTTGAATATCTAATCACAAACTTTTGTATAATCCTAATCAATTTATATGAATGCAAAGATTTTATAGCATTATATTATTGAATAATAAATAGAAAACACATATGTGTATATATAAAATTATATATTATGACATACAAATTTGCCGCCTCATGTCACGCCTTAAAAAACTTTGCGTTCTCACCGTGGCATGTAAGGCGTTAGGTCGCCGCCACGCCACGCCTCACGCCATATTGAAACTTGGCTAGAAGTCAAGAAGTAAGGTAAAGTAAAGACAAACTCTTTCGAAAGCAATGGTGGCTAGGAATGGCTTCAGCCAGGTCATCGAGGCCTATTGTGGACCTTTGTTGCAATTTTATTCTAATGGTACGATGGTAGTATCGTTGTCATGCACTAACACACTAGTTAACATTGTACATATTCTTAACGACACCAACATGCCATGCGAGGTCTTCGTTCTTCTCGGGGGCCTACCACGTAACTCTTCTTGACACCCTATATTGATGCTTATGTCGTGGAAATCCTTACTTTGTCCCTTGATATCTTTCTGAGATGTCTAATCAAGGATACTGTGCTGTTGCCAATCTCCTGGGACATAACCAAATTGATTTTGTTGATGCACTTATTGTTATTACCATCCTTAAGTGATGCTAAACAACCCATTTTCATAGCTTCATTCTATGGTTCATAAGCTTGATATCTCTAAAAGTAGCACAATTTTGTATGCCTTTTTCACTCTTGAAGATTGAGACCAGTTTATTTTTCTGTTACTCAAGTATTTTGTTTGCCCCTAAAGTTGCTATACCCTAGTAAACCATACCGTAGCTACCTTATGGAATTTTAACCTCAAGGAACCACAAGCCTTGTTTTCTTGCTATGTGACATGATGTTCTTGCATCACAGAATGATAGTCCTTTGATCTTATATTATCATGATAGCATAAAATCTAGTCCCATTTATCATATAATCATTTGGGGTCCTATAAAGTCTGATCTACCTGATTTTCTTGATAAACTTTATCCATGGAATGATATCTCATATAAATACAAAATATGTGTAATCGTCAAAGCGGGAGGTGGTCAAGCTACTTGCACATATCTAGTCTGTTTTTTGTGGCTCTTTCTAAGAGGGTTTCATGAATCCAAGATGGTCTATTTGGTCTTGATCAAGCAAATCATATCGGGGAGTGCTCATGTTTGCTTTATTGTTCCAAGACCTGTAGGAGTTGGCTCATGATAATCACTGTAACAGTCAGATTCATGTGCTAGTCGCATGTGCAAGTTATGTTGTATGACAACAGTGGTACTATCAACTGCTTTTTGTTTGACATTTTTAAATTTCCAAATATTGCACTTCTTATCATGATATTAGAAAAAATAAGTTCAATGTCAGAGTAAGCAGAACTTCCAATTTCTTTAATATGTTTTACTGTGTGTGCAATGATTAGCCTCACTTGTTAGACCTTTTACTGCTGCAAAATGGCTTTGCAACCCTATGCCTATGTATGATATTCATTTTACGTGGCTTTGAAGATTCAAAGAGCCCTAGGAAGCCCAGGCGACGAGCTAGTTCTACACCAAAGAAGCGACAGACTTGTCTTACCCCAGAGAAGCGGCAGATGAATTTAACACCATCTAGAAATGCCATTAACGGTGCTTTACATGAAGATTACTCAGAGAAAATGCTGGCTAGTCCCCCCAAGCCAATTCCTGATCTACGGTTAGAGGCAAAAATGACTGCAGAGGTTGGTCATAGTTCCTCTTACTCTACATGGAAGTGGATTATTTTCATTTCTATGATTTGCGATGAATTTAACTAAATGTAGCTTCATCCGTGATTGTGCAAATCAGCAATCTGTTCTTTAAATGTGCATATCATATCTCTGTCTTTATACGACCTGGGTAAACCTTTCGTTTTATGGCCAGATTCTCTTGTCAATATTTTTATTTCTGGATGCTGAGATATCTATCCTTTTGTATCAGGAAAATTCACGTATATTTGCAGGAAAGCAAATACATCCTTTCTTTGTGTCGTGGAAAAATGGCAAGAAAAATACCGAGAGTACTGGCACAGAGAATAAATGGTGCCATGTTGAGAGGAAGGAAAGTAACAATGATGTCAATCCTGTTCATATATTTGAGAAAACACAGGTAAGGAGCAAAAACATGCTCTTAGTTGTACAATCTTGTTAAATTATCACTTCTCCAATATCCGTTTTTTTTTTTTACCTTGAACCTTGAAAATCACCTCTGCAGAGTGAAACTTTCTTTGTTGATTGGAGAAACTGGACATTTTCTGAAAGCATCTTCACAAGGACCGGCCAAGATCTAGAAGATTCTTGCTTGCAGCTAATTTATGAAGGATCAGTCAATTGCTTGCAGTTTGATAACTTTCTTGGTGTCCCTCCACTTGGAATGTCGTTGTGTCAGAACAAGGGTTCTTCAAGTCAATATCCCATCCAACTTGAAGAGATTTCTACAAGTTTTTGTTCCATGCTTCAGGAGAAGAGTCTAGTTACATCTTCCGCTTCCGTGGTGGATAAGCTGGAACCACAATGTAATCAACCGAAAGACATTGAGGTGGTAAGCATGTATCAATTAAATGAAGATTCCGTGTTTTCAGTTGAATTGCCTACCATATCCAATCGCTTTTTGTCTATACTTTGTTCATACATTGCCTTTTGAAGTCAAGTATATGCATGTCATATTAGCATCACTAAATTGGCAGGTCCATGAAATTGGCAAAACAGGTGGTTCCTTGGCAAACACTGAGTTTGTGGTGAATTTGGATACTCAGTGGCAGGATACCTTGCATACAGAAAGGTGTTCATTCTCTTCTATCTTTATGAATTAGTCTATGTTGAAGCTTCTCTTCTATTTGTCTTCATTTTGAAGTTTGTTACTACATATTCTTTTTGGGGACTAATGACAATGGTCCTGCTCCTGGAGGCTATAGGAGAATGATTATATTTCAGATAAGCCATAGGAGAATTAAAAGTTTCTTGCAGTTCAATGTTCTCTTAATCTGTTTCAGAGACCCCACATCCAGTCAAAAATCTCCCACCAGTATCTTAACTCATCCAAAAGACTAGAACACCCCTGACAATGTAAACTGAGAATTCTGCCCTTGATTGCTTTGATTACAATCTAATTTATTATGTACAAGATTCATACACAGTGTTTACAATGCAAGTTAGTGCAATTACACAGTAGTTCACAAGATATTAAAAGCATTCTTAGAAATAATGACAATCAAATCAATACTGGAAAGAATGAGTAAGTGATTTTAAAAGCAGGCCCCCTACTTTGCACCCTTGCTCTCCCTCCCTGGTCTATCTTTGTTTATTGCTCTAACATAGTAATAGAACATTAAAAATCRGATTATAGCAGCAATACCAGCCAGAACCTCTGATGAGACCTCTCCATCGTACTATCATCTCCGTTATTAGTATTACTGAGGCTTTTCACTTCTTGATTCTGTTTCTCATTGCGGGGGTGGGTGCTTGGTTTCGATCTTATTTTGTTGATTTTTTTTTCCATTGCTGGGGATTAAACTTTTTTATAGACATAGGATTTTCATTTTTAACTTTACAGCCTTTAGACATCTATATGGAAGCCCTTTTTGCAATTTGGAGTTGAAGCATACTCATAAGGGTTCAATGCAGCGAGTCTTA